TGGTCAATTGTGCGAGCATAAAAATATAATATTATGGAACAATTAATTATCATTAGAACTAATAAGGCAGAAAAGATAAAGGGTTTTCTCGACCAAGAAAAGCAAAATTACAAGGTCTTTAACCAAACCCAAAGAAAAAAAGATTTATTTGCTAACTACGGAGAAACCATAAAAGATAAAGAGCGAGAAAAAGAAGCCCAAGAGTTAGAAAATGCCGAGGAAGAGGATATAGTTAACGAAGAATGGTAAAAGAGAAATTCCCGCCCGCTCAACAATGAGAAGTTTACAAATTTAGAACTAGCCCAAAAGAGACCGAAGGCACGGAAATAATGAAATCTCGACCAGGGATAATTATTTCGACTAATGAATTAAATAAGTGAGGTAGCAGATACATTTTTTTACCTATTACCAGCAAAAAGTTTGATAAAGTTTATCCATTTGAAATTTTTATTGATTTTCAAGGTAAGAAAGGGAAGGCATTACCCGACCAAATTAAAACTTATAGCCATGGTCGAATTATTAAGAAATATGGAGTATTAGACCCTAAATATTATCCGGAAGTAGAAAAGAAAGTTAAGGAAGTATTTGGATGGAAATAACTAAATCAATAAAAGCGCCATGAATGAAAATAATAAATCTTTACAGGAAAGAGTAAAAGGATATGTAGGAGAAGAAAATTGAGAAAACGTTGCTATTCCTTTGATAATAAAAGATAACCTTAATCCTAAATTTAAATTGCGGCCTTACCAAGAAGAAGCATTTAGATACTTTATTAACTATTGAGAAAAAGACTTCAAGGGAAAAACAAATCAACACCAACTGCTATTTCTTATGCTTTGATGATGGCTGGATTAATTTTGTATTTATACGAAAAAGGCTATCGTAATTTTCTCTTTTTTGTGAATAGCACCAACATTATTGATAAGACCAAAGATAATTTTTTGAATGACACTTCAATTAAGTATCTTTTTAATCAATCTCTTTCTTGGGCTGATAAAAAAGTCGCCCTTCAAGAAGTAGATAATTTCCAAACTACTGATAATGATAATATTAATATTTGTTTTGAAACTATTCAGGGGCTTCACACTCGATTAAACACTCCACGAGAAAATAGTTTAACTTACGAGGACTTTCAAGATAAAAAAATCGTTCTCATCTCAGATGAAGCCCATCACATCAACGTGGAAACTAAATCAGGAAAA